CCGAGGCGTTAATAATGTCTGTGCGAGATGGCAACTGCAGTCCACCCCACCCTGGACTAGAATATCTTTTGCGAAATCAAGGTTACATGAAACTCAATGGAAACGTAATGTTTGCTTGAATGATTATGGGAAAATCAAATTACCAGTCCTTCATCATCTTCAACGAAATTGGGTGGATCCATCTCATAGATCTGATTGCTAGACCACATACAAATTTACTTCATCGAAAATCCTACTCAAGAATGTGATATGGTAAACTGTCTGCCCTGCGACCCGACGGCCCTCGTGGCGATACAACGTAGTGGCTGGCGTGTCGAGACTAAACTTTGAATAGTCTAGGTTCGAGTCTCGCTGGGGGTGCTGAAAAGACCAAAACACCTTTTGGGGAAGAAAGGCTATGTCAACTTGAATGGAAACGTTTGGTCTTTTCGCATGAATGTGGGAAACTTTAACTAGCGGTCCTTCATCACTTTCAACGAAATACAATTACACATCGCATGTAGCTTTAATTTGATTTGAAGGAGAAACATGCAAGGGATTCGTTATTTGGCCTTGCATTTTTCTTCTTCAAACGAACTTAAAGCTATATGGGATGTGCCATTTTATTTTGTAGAAAATGATGAAGTACCGCTAGTTCAAGTTTCCCACAAGCATGCCAATAGACCTTATGTTTTCGTGGCCAGTTTGGCCAATCCGAGCCTGAATGTGCAGCCGAGGTGGATGACTATCCATCCACAGACAGGACTCGAAACCAGCATTTTTCCACTTCTGGTAGCCGAGGAAATAATGGAGGACGAGAGGCACTTTAAAGTGGTCCACTTTTCCGATGTCTCACAGCATTGTCTACAACAATCGGCTCTCCAGAAACCTATTATCCACAGCCGGTTTTTACAGAACATCATCTTCACAAGCAATGAGGCAATCTGGGAGCGTTGAGAGTGTCCATTTGAAGGGCAGCAAAAGGGACACTTGACCCTCGCAACAGCACAGACAAGAAGTCTTTTAGAAAGCCTTTGTTGCCATCCCCTTCATCTTGTATCAGGAGGTTCGTCAAACAAGTCAATTCCACTCCAATTCTGCTCCAAATATGACTAGCTATCTATCGTCTCTTGTAAAATTATAGTCGGATCTGGATACCTGCTTCTAGTAAAAAAGACCGGTCAACGCCGAATCGGGATAATTCCTTAGTCTAGTGATTCCCAAACTGTGCGCCGCGAAATATTGTAAATGCTTCATTTGGCCCAACTAAACAAAAACGTGACGGTAAACGCTGCCTCTTCTCGATCGCGCCACATGATCGCACTAGACACGTCGAAGTGCGTATAACCAGATTTGGAATGTTCTGGAAGATCTTGTTGAAAATTTATAAGCAAGCGCTGCCGGCTCGATTCAGTCAGTCGACTCATAATTTGAGTCTAGCGAAGTTAAACCCAGCACTTCATATGTACATAAACAGTGAAATAAATTAGTAAATGAGTTTATATTGTAATTTAGTTAGTGTTTTATTACGTCTTGTTTGTGTCTTTGATAAATAATTTTGTGACTTTTGGCTCTTGTATCTTTCATAATGGACCGAACTTTGAACAGTTATAAACGTAATAGTACAGATAAATGCAATAGTGGGAAAAAACAAAAATATCGTAAATATGATGACAGCTATTTAGAGTTTGGCGTTACGTCAACAAAAATTAATGGCGAAGAGAGACCACAATGTGTATTGTGTATGAAAGTTTTGTCAACAGAGTGTATGCTTCCAAGTAAATTGAAGCTTCATTTAGAAGCTAATCAACGTGGAAAAGGAAATGAGGATGGCTGTGTCCAGTTTAATTCCACGATTTAAAAAAATGTGCAGTGATTTGCACGCTCATCCATCACAATAATTATTAAATATTAATTTAATGTTAATAAAGTAAAAAAAATAATGAAGATACA